TTCAATAAACGTATGCCTTGCTGGAAAATCGATTTCATTTTAAACTTACGTGTGCAGCGTGAACTAGATGGAATGTAAAGAAAAAGAGACAAAACACGCGTTCATACTGGCGCCTAGCGCCTGGATGCAACTATTCGACCTCTAGAGATGTGCGTGTTGCTTACTCATAATTGAAGGCGTTTTAGTTTTCTCCGTGCCTTCCGCGGCTAGTGCAACGCTTCTGTGGGTTGTTATTGGAGAGTTTCACGAACGAAAGACCGAAAAAGAAGGTATGGCCAACTTTTTATGTTATTCTTGCCATTTTTCAAAAAGTCTACGTGCTAGAAACATCAAATTCTTGTCAATAGCGCTTGATCGTAGTATTTATATGTATGTATAAGTTGTTGTTTCGAAAATGGCAAAATGATGTTTGGGTCCTGGGGGAGGGGGGGGATAAAGGACCAAATAATTGACCGGTCAACACCCATTATCATTGTCAAAAGAGTCAAAAATATGACTGAAAAGGCGTTCATTCGATTCCCAATTTAATGCTATTTTCGTATTATACAAATTTTCGTACAGCAAATTACGAACAATTTCGAGAACATTTTTGTCCATTTTATCAAACAAATAGTTGGACCACTCATCAAAACATTTAATTTTTCCGAGGGAAATATTCATCGACAGAAACCATCGGAGTCGACGTTTAAAACAGGATGATGGTACGACATCTGACATCGCTGAAACAGTGAGCATTTCACCTATTCGACTGAAAAATCATCAAATTTTATCACGGGTGAAAAAAGAAAGAAACGACGAACCAGGAACAAGTTAAATGCATTGGTTCATGAACATGAAACGAAATTACTGTGATTTCACAAAAACAGGTAAAGAGGTGAAAAATTGAAAAATCACATATAGCCTTGCGTCCAGAGGAAAAGTTAAATTGAGTTCTGACATTCTTTTTTTTACGCGTAATACCAAGAGAACAAGTTTCTTTGAGGCAATCAGTATTTCAATGGATGATTCATCGGCCGGGACGAAGTCCCGAGGGAATTCCAAGAATTCGCCAAACTCACAAAGGATACCGAGCGTTTTCGAGAAAATTCTGACGGCAAGAGCATACTCGAGTTTCAACTCAAAGTCGATTATTATTTGTAACGCATAGCATGAAAGCTCTGTCCCTTTGGGTCTTCGCCTCTTTACTGTAAAAAAGGATTTCATAAAATGAAGGGTCGATGCGGTAATTGATTTTCTTTGCTCCTCGCGTTAGACCCAGAACTTTTTCGTCGAATCGTTCGGGTTGAAAAACATCCAACTCCGAGGAATCTTTAAATTCGTTTCATGCATGTAGAAAAATGGGTTCTCGAATCAAACGGGAAAGTTCATTATTTTAAAAACAAAAACAAAAAAAAACCCTCCATGAGATAAAAATCAGTAAACCCTATTTGGTTTGAAAATAACCCACGTCTAGATTTCTTTTTAAGGTTGGGTGAAATTCTCTCATTTCACAAGAACTTGTCGATCTGTTTTGAAGGGAGGGGGGAGAGGGAGGGTCCACATTTTGCTTTCGGAGATGGGTCGGAGTTCAAGTAAATATTTCATGGTTTCGTATCAAAATTCCACACCTTTCTCTCTGTCTCTGACTTTTCAGAGTTCGGTAAAATTTCCTGTCTTTTCAAGCACTGCCAAGCTAAGGAAGAACGCCGTATGAACATTCGAGAGTTGCCAAATTTTCCTTTATGAAACTTGTATTTTTGACGACATTCATGCACATTTTTTTTGAACTTTTCAGATAATTTAGATAAAATTGCGTACAATATTGTCCGAAAATTTTGAAAAAAATATTCACAATTTTCCCAGTAATTCTGGATTTATCAATGGTTACTTGGCAACGCCTGAAGGCTCATACGGCGTTTTTCCTTAGTATGGCAGAGCACTTGTTGCCCTGTTCTGGGTGGAAGATTTCACTTTTTTTGCCCGGAGATGGGTCATTTGGACCGCGTTTAACAGAAAGGAACCAAGCCACAACAGCTATTGCCAAATTTAACTGGATAATTTTATTTTTACGAGAGAACGTTTATGTGGATTCCTTTGAGAATTTCAAGGAATTTGCTTCGCGCTGCGGAGAAAATTCACTGAAATTTGCACGAAAATCCGCACAAGAGTTTTCGTGTAAAAAATTAAATCGACCACTTAAATTTGGCAATAGCTAATGTGGCTTGGTTCCTTTCTGTTTAACGCGGTCCATTTTCAAACCGAAAGATTTCATTTTTTCCGTGCGAATTCAAAATCCGCTTCTTGTGCGACGCGACGTGGCGGTGCGGTGTTTGTCGGGACCGGCTGCGATTGACAGATTTTGACGAAGAGGGATCGTCCAGCTTCACCTGAAGCGGAGGCGTACCAGCGAGCGTCTACGTTTTGAACCGGTCGATGTAAAAGCGAACAGGTCCATTTTCTGGAGAGCCCTGAGGTTCATAAGAACGCTTACATATTAGAGTTCATGGTAAAGTGGGCATGATCGGTTTTGGCATCGGTCGATTCATTTATGCGAGACGAGGGTTCGAGGGTCAATAAGGATTGAAATTGGGCTTTCCTCTTGTTCTATCCCGCTTAAGTGTGGAGCTACGGGGTATTTTTATTGGACGGACCTTTAGAATAACAGGGATGAGTCAGCAATGGGCCGCTGGATAGGGTTGAAAACCTAGCAGTGAAACAATACTGCCTAGCTATACCTATACAAAATCTAAATTTTTATTCATCCCTACAAAAATGAACCGGTTTCACTAACTTTTGGGCAACTTGAACTTTAGACTTTTGAGTGAAGTTTCGAAATGTTTTTGCTGGACCCAACCCAAGCAGCAGTGATCGCGATAAATAGCTATTTTATCGGTTGGTTTTCGCAATTGAATCGGTGGCAATATATCGAGATATTATCGCATTAAAAATCGCGATATTTGGCGATTAAATCGCTACAAGTTGCAATTTTTGGTTCGATAAAATCGCGATCAGTTTTCGTCGATAAAATCGAGATTAAATCGTCATTTGTAGCGATTTTTATTTCGAATATATTGCGATAAATTGCCGGGCAATAAAATCGCGATTTTATCCCGATAAGATCGAGGATAATCGCTCAGACGTTGATGATCCTAGCGATTTTATCGTCGACAAAATTGTAATACATCCCGATTTTTTCATTGAAAAATGCTACTTCCCAAGTAGAATTTCTTAACGAAAAAATCGCTATGCATTACGATTTTATCGGCGATAAAATTGCCAGGATCATCAACATGTGAGCGATTATCATCGATCTTATTGCGATAGAGTCGCGCTTTTATCGCCCGACAATCTATCGCGATGTTTTCGAAATAAAAATCACGATAAACGGCGATTTAATCTCGATTTTATCGGCAAAAATTGATCACGATTCTATCGAACAAGAGGTGGCGATAAGTAGCGATTCATCGCCATATATCGCAATTTGTAATGAGATAAGATCTCGATATATCGCCACCGATAAAATTGCGAAAACCAACCGATAAAATAGCTATTTATCGCGATCACTGCTGCTTGGGGAGTAGTGGAAGATTTAGCTTTGAGGAATACGCATTTTCAACATCTAAACGACGTATCTCCGAAGCTTTGGATAATTTTCCAAAATTCAAATCTACGATTTTAGGAATTACCTGCGAGCGCTATTATTAAACATTTAATGTATTTAGCCCGTGAACTTTTTGAAAAATCGCAAGAATAAAATAAAAAGTTGGGCATGCCTTACTTTTAGGTATTAAGTACGTCGCTCGCATCGACAACAGCGCGCAGAAGCGTCGGATAAGCCGCCGAGGTCACGAAGAAAACTAAAACGCCTTCAATTTTGAGTAAGCAACCCGCACATCCGAAGAGTTCGAATAGTTGCATCAAGGCGCTGGTATGAACGTCGCGTTTTTTTGTCTCCTTTTTTTACATTTCATCTCGTTTACGCGGCACGCATACTTTTGAAATGAAGGCTACTTTTTCAGAGGGGCGTAAGTCCTTTGGACATTTTCAAAAAGTGTCACGGTAGTTCATTGTTGTGCGAGTGGACAAGCAAGAAATCCTCCCAGAGACGTTACTGAATTTAGTTTGTCGCATGATTAAAATTCTCAATTTTTTCCCCGAAAGAATCTCTCAGGTATGCAATTCATATAAAAATATTCCAAACTCCGAATATTTACGATAGTACAATATTTACGAAAACCTAACGGCGTTTAAGGACTCAGATATTGCAGAGTCTCTGCTGACCTTGGCCGAATTTTCTAGAGAAAGTATGCATGCACTGGAAAAAAAACACATTGGATCTAGAGTCCAGACTCTTAAAAACATCGACAAGGAAAAGTACTATTGATTCAATCAGAATCTACCTTAAATCAAGAACCAAGCCTCTTAATTTAAGCGGATTTTCTTTTGATTCAAGCAAAAATCCGATTGAATTAAGAGTATTTTTCCTTGTCAATTTTTTCAAGAGTCTGGACTCTAGATCCAATGTGTTTTTATCCCAGTGAGATTTCCTTTGGATTTTCGAAGATTTTCATAGACAACTTAATCCAGTGTGTCTGAAAATATCAATATTTAATAAAATAAGACTTTTTTTAAAAAAAAAAAAATGAGATTTTGTCAGCATAAAGTTCTGTGATCATTTTTTTAGCGAGCTTCTTCCCGCTCTTTCCGTCGGGGGGAAAAAATCAAAGTTTATTTTGACAAAGTTGGGGATTAAACTACTTTTGGCGTGCTTTACGGTTGAATAATTTCGCCAGTGTGCGCAAAGAGTTTAAAATTGCTGTCGCTTAGGAGAGGCGGGAAAACTATTGCGAAATCTAACTCCAGTAATTTGCTGAAAAAGTTCGTAATCGCTGCCCGATTTCACTACGTTAATTTTGAGTTTTTCTTGAGGAAAGAGCTTGAATTACGTAAAAACGACGTATATAAACTCACGCGGCGTATGAAATATTGTAGGTTTAAGGTATCATTTTCCGTAAACTTACCGAATATCCTCTAGGAGATCACATTCGTTTTGATTCTTGAGCGTTAACTTTGCCGCTTGTTCAGAGTGGAGATTCTTCAAAAATTTCACATAGTTTCCCTGAAACATTATTTCATGGGATTAAAATTCATTCAATACAACTTTTATAACTACATTTATAGTGACAAGACTGAAGCTTTTACACCTACCGTGCTGGGTTTCAGGACATTACGTCGACGATTTTTTGTCCGCACACCTATTTTGTCCAATAGTTTACTTTCACGCGTAAAATAAGCAACAATGACTTGGTCCAAGTGTTATGTATTAGTCCGTATATAGAATTATATTGACAATATTGAAATGAGAAAATTGAGAGAGAAGGAGGAGTTGTTGCGGTAACTCGCTTTTTAAGTGAAATGTTACTCTCTTCTTCTGATTCATCATTTTAAATGGGCATGGGTGAATACTTGGTTTTATTTCTAACCTTAAAATTTCCGATTTAAAATTAAACTTATATAAACTTTTTTTAATGAAAATATTACTTTATTTTAAAAACATTTACATTTTTAAAACGTGTTAAATATTTATAAAACCTTTTCCGAGCGATGGTATCGATATTAAAGTCAATGAGCAGTAGTTGTGTTGAAAGAAACTATAAAAAATGAATGACAGGGGAAATAAACCAAGAAGCACACAATTTTTGGTTTTAGCCCATTTGTACATGTACATCGATCTTTTAGAGTCAAATACATCCTATTTTTAGCGTTTGGTTGGGCGTGCACCGCAATGTGGCACAGTAAAAGCACAAAATATAAAAGAAATAAGTCATAAGATTTAGAAACCATTAAAATTTACAAGGAACTACCTTAATATTTACAAAACATACATTATATTTTCCTTTCGTGCATATATTTTTTATATAATGAGAGTAATCCACGCAAATATCACGAGTTGAAAAACGCTGACCCCGCAAGTTTAAATAATAGGGCCTAACATAAAGCGGAGTGACGCGACGCGACGTGGCGACGTGCTGCCAGCACGTAACGCGCATTGACGCCTACAAACCTAAGTGGATACTTCACGCGTTGCGCAATGCGTAGAGTATCCCGTTAGGTTTGTAGGCGTCAATGCGCGTTGCGTGCTGGCCGGCCGCCGCGCCCTCCACGCCGCAGCAAGCCACCCACGGCGCTTCACTATTTCACAATAGAGGTGTTGTACAGTATCATATGAAATTGAAGAAGCCCCAACATATTAAGAATGACAGGCATCCATTAAGAGTAAGGAACTTACCTCGCAAAATAAATCGAGATAAAAGAGATAAAGAAACATTCTTGAGTATGCCGTCAAGAAGATTTAGTTTGAATCAAGAATAAAATAGGTGAACAAAAGCGGGTTTTTGCTTGATGTAAGTGACTTTCCTTCTTATAAAAACATCTTTTTTTCGTTTAAAAAACATTATTTTCTTTATTGACTCATAAGGAAATCTTCTCGGCGGTAAATTTGAGGATATTTCTCTTTGAATCAGGTCACTTTTTCCTCTAATGGAGTTAAAAATCATGCTAAACGTTATTAGATACAGATACTAGGAAAGAAAGTTTTTCGACTACCGCTCTCTTTTTGTTGCCGTCACTCGATTTAATTTGCGAGGGATTTCCCTATCTTTGCATGGAGAGTTTGTCTTGATGTAGAGGTGGACTCTCAGGATAGCGTGGGATATCCCCTCCATTTTGGCCTCAACTTGAGAGCTTTTTTGGAGCTTGGGAGTTGATTTCAGAGAAAACCAGTGGCACCATCGTGTTTCTCGCAACTTTTACATTAGAATCGATCGTCAAATTGCAAATTCCTCACACATGCAACATCTCCATTTGCGAAGAAGGAAGGAGAGGTAGAGAGGAAGAGAACATTTTCTAAGATTCCCTGAACGTTTTTGGAACGTAACCTATCCCTTTCCGGCGCAGCAGCGAGCCGATTGTTGAATCGTTATCGAATGACCCTGATCGATATATAGCATTGTGAGGATAGGGAGTTATAGATCGACTTCATTCGATAACGATTCCAGTGGCGAGGCGTGAATGATCGATTATCGATATTTCCCCATTTGAGCTGTGGTAAAGAATCGATTATAAGGGTGTTCGCTACAAACACTCTATTAATCGATCCTTTTCCATCGGTTTAAATGGTAGATCAATCGATATATCGCAAAGCACGCCACGCCACTAACGATTCAACAATCAACCCGCCACCAGGGAAGCGAGCTGAAATTCGATCCACTCACTTAAACCTAACTAGAGCGTGAGCAATTCAACCCGCCGACCTGTTGAGCGACGCATGGAGCGGCGTCCATTAGTGAATTTTTTAATTTTCCCACACGATTTTCCCAACCATCCAGATCCTCCAGTGTGCTCTGACGAGACCGAACCGGGCTGCCAGCGTTGCCACGTGGGAGTAAAAGTAAAATTTACGAGGGTTCTCGAGTCGTCTGCCGCACAGTTGATCGAGTCAATTGGAGAGGTCGGACAAAATAGAGATGTTGCATGTGTGAGGAATTTGCAATTTGACGATTGCTTCTAATGTAAAAGTTCGTGAGAGACACGATGGTGCCACTGGTTTTCTCTGAAATTAACTGCCAAGCTCAAAAAAAGCTCTCAAGTTGAGGCCAAAATGGAGGGGATATCCCACGCCATCCTGAGAGTCCACCTCTACAACAAACCAAACTCTCCATGCAAAGATAGGGAGCAAATACATTGATAAGGCTGCCGCTTTATTTGAGGACTCCACAACTGAAAACACGGCATCACTGCTAATGTACATAATTTCATCCCTATTTTTGCATGGAGAGTTCGTCTTGTTGTAGAGGTGGACTCTCAGGATAGCGTGGGATATCCCATCCATTTTGGCTTCAACTTGAGAGCTTTTTTTGAGTTTGGGAGTTGATTTCAGAGAAAACCAGTGGCACATGGCACAATCGTGTTCCTCACGAACTTTTACATAGAAATCAGTAGTCAAATCGCAAATTTCTCACACATGCAACATCTCCATTTGAATACTTTAAAAGCTCATAACTCCGCTTTTAAAAAATTGTGAGGTCTTAAAAATGTTCCTATTGATACTCTCGTAAAATTTATCTCAAGAATCGCCCCTCAAACTTTAAAATCCGACGACATAAACGTCTTAATTTGTGGTTTTATTGAAAAAATTCATGTCCGACCTCTCCGATTGATTCAGTCCATTGTGAGCCGTGCGGTAAAATGTATCATCCCTCCTAAATCCGGCGTTTGTGGCGGGAAACAACTTTCTCGCTCGCTTTCATTCAGTGGCGTGACGTGCTTTGCGATAAATCCATTGATCGGCCATTTAAATCTATGGAAAAGTATCGATTAACAGAGTGTTCGCAACGAACACCTTAATAATCGATTCTTTACCACAGTTTCAAATGGGAAATATTGATAATCGATCACTCACGCCTCGCCACTGTTTTCATTACTCCTTACGCAGGAGATTGTTTACACTGGTATTCTGCCGTGCTGAGAAAACGCTGTAAGAACCTTCAGACGATGTCATATGTTCAATGTAACATATATTCAGTTACATGTACTATCGACGAATTTAGTTTTGCGCATAGGCCGCTCCAAATCAAATGTAAACTGTGCGACGAGGCGCAGCGCAGCGTGGAGCGTTTCGGACATATCGGGTGCTGACTGGACCTATCTCATCTCATGCCAACGAGGAAAACGGAGGCACATGGACAATTGACAAATCTACTACTTTTTCAAGAAAATATCCCTCAGACAAGCATCTACAGGTGCAAACTATGATAGACAGCGCAACACCGCGGTCACTCGAAAATAGAGCTAAAATTTCATGAGGTACAACTGATTTTTTCTTCTAGACGCCGCGCCGGCAGATTACATGGAGTTCTTTGGGACAAAGGCGTATGCGCGCATCCGCCCTTTTTCGGGAGAACGCGTTTACTGAAACTGGATTCTTCCTAGTTTCAGGGAATATACATAGTGTACTAAAAAGTCTCCCCCCCCCCATTTTTTTTTACACAGCGATCCACGTTATCATGTAGGAATCATAGGGGAATGTAGTCACAATGTTCCGTTTTTGCAAGTATACTCTCAAAGACTTGTTCTTTTAAATTAATTAAATTTCGTGCGAAGATATTGGCTACAACCAGCGCTATACACTTTTGAACTTTCAAAAGCGGTTTCTGCGGAACTAATTTTTCTAGTATACGCCCTTGTTCCAAAAAATTACTTAACTCAGGATACACTTTTTCGCGCAGGAAGTTTAAAAATGACGCAAGACTGGTCCGCTGTTGACTATGGAAGATTACACAAGTATGCACCAAAAAAAAAAGTTAGTGCTTTAAAAGCGGATTCTCGTGTAATATTCAGCCCTGAGTCTACGAATGACCTTGGTTTTTCCCTGTCTCCGCCATTTTCCAGGTGAATTGGGATTATTTAAAAATGAATTTTCCTTTGAAAATTTGATTGTCTGGAAATTAATGCATGATTGAGAAAAACCAAAGTAATTCTTAAATTTAGGAGCTAAAGATACTTAGCCAGACATATTTCGCATACCGCATGTCTAAAAAAAATGCCACCCTTTTCCTGATAACGAGTATGATATTTCCCGGGGGATTCACCCTCTACGCGGAGGGGGCCCCAGAAAAGTTTGGAAAATCATCATAATTTTAGGCTATTTTCAGGATCAAAATTGATTGATAGCACACAGAAAAAATTTGAAAATTGAACGTGTAAAAGTAACGGATAGACTTGTGAAATGAAAAAGAAAGAGAACAAATCACAGCTACTAGCAGCATCCAAGCACCGTTATTTCTAGAGAAACCGAGGCAGAGCTGGTGAATTAAATTATTGCTTTAATGCCTATAAGTCTGAAAATTATGAACCCAAGAAACATGTCAGCTGAAAGATCTTTTTAGCCTCCTCGATCGGAAAATGAAACATGCAATCTAGTGAGTACAATGTAAAATTTTGAAGGAGAGAGAGGGGGAAAAAGAGTGTTGAGTTTGGCTAAGAACAATGTGTTCAGTAAGGCAAGTAAAAAAAAAAGAGATAGGAACAAATCAATTGAATGCATCAGAGGTCTATAGC